AGGAGGCTGTTACAGTGGCATATTCTAGAATTTGCTGCTTCCCCTCCCCGTAGAAATCCTATGAATTTACATTCAAACAAACAAAACCCTTGTTAAAAAGAACCTGCTTAAGATTGCAAAGCCAAGCACCCAAAAATTCAGACATGCCAGATTTGTGATTGCCTGTAAAATCTTAATTGAGCCCCCTTGCATTTATGCATTCTAATCTTTTATTATACTATCAAATATTTTTTATTTTGAAGAATCTCCACCCCATTCAGTGCACGGTCAAATACTCAACGGAGTCGAATTAAGGTACTGCAAGTCACAGGTGATGCATGGGGGAGGAGGAGGGGGAAGGGGAGAATAAGAGATCTGTGCCTCAAATGCTATGAGTGTGAGGGATTGGCCAGCAGCTGGGGAGAGGGGGGAGACCAGCAGGGTTGGAGCACTGGGGACAGGAGTTTGCTCCCCCCACTCTGTCCAGCAGGAACTGGAGCAGCATGAGTGTAGAGTTGTGTGAGCAGGGGGTGCCTTGCTGCACTTTCCCAGCCACTGCCAGTGAGTGTGGGGAGGTGCAGACTCCTGCTGACAGTTCCAGTTCCGCATCCCTGCTAGTCCCCTGGGACACCTCAGTTGTAGAGCGGGGCAGAGGCAGAGAGAGAACGGAGCAGGGGGTGTAGAGAGGGCATGGCAGGAGTGAGGAGGCAGGGCCTGGGCAAAGGGGGGTTGTCCTGGTCCTTCCCCAGACTGAGGTGTGGGGCATGTGACCAGTGGCTCTGTTGTGGGTGACTGTAAATTTAAGATATTCTAATTTTTGATTTTGTAACCTAAACAACATTGTTTTATTTCTTGTTTTTTTGGATATAATTCAATATTTACCTTGCAGTAGTGCACAGAGGTCCCAAAGGAATCAGACCATATTGCAGTAGATGCTACACACACATATATGATCCCTAACTGAAGCTACATCTACGTTGCATCCCTCTTGCGCAAAAGCCTATGCAAATGAAGCATGGATTAGCATATTGCCACGCTTCATTTGCATAATTAATTAGCAGATGTTTTTGCGCAAAACCGCCTCTTGCGCAAGAGCTGTTCTTTCTGAAAAAATGAGGAAGAATGGCTCCTGCAAAAGCCTCTTACGCAAAAACGGCCCCTAATTAATTATGCAAATTAAGTGTAGCAATATGCTAATCTGTGCTTCATTTGCATAGACTTTGCACAAGAGGGATGCAGTGTAGACGTAGCCTCATGAGAGAGCTTCCAATTGACTAGTGGTACATGGCAAGCAGTTCCTAGGTCTTTCATTATTATTATTTATTATATTGTTGTTATTTTAGTTTGCCATTTCATTGAGGGATTGATGTATTGGTATTAGAAAAGATATATTTTTTTAGTGTATTTAAGGCCTCATCCAGATTTTACTGAAATCAATAGGGATTTCCCCATAGTCTTCAAACAGAAACAGACTCGGGTCCTTATTCTTGAGCAGGCTTTTAAATCAGGTAGGATGGGGAAAAAGAAAGATTAAAACACATGACCTGGAGCAAAATTTGATTCAATCTCTAGTTAGTGATAGGGCAGAGAAATTATTGTAACTCAAAACCGAAACTACAATTTTAGTCAAACTACATTTAAATGTAACTTCCTGCAGAAACACTCCAAAACACACCAGTGATACTTTAAGTATAAAGGAAAAATTATGTGTTAGGAGCTTTTTCAAAGGCAAGCACAGGATGGTTAGAAAGGTAGACAGAAATCCTCAAAAATTAAGAAACCATCTAATAGTGAAACTGACTCTCCATGTGCAGAGAAAACAATTTCCATGCATGTTATCCAAAATGTGTTAAATCAACTAACATTGATATAACTTCAAGCAATTAGGAGCATGCTAATAATGATATGAGTCTTCAGCTGTAAATAATTACGCTGCCTCAAGGCTATGCTTTAATTCTTGGCTTGCTGTATCTATAAACAATAATCAAACTGCAAAGCAAGTTGCGTTGTTTTTGTTCACAATTTGTGAAATGATTTCTCTGCCCTACAGTGATGCTGATGGCTATTGTGACCTTCAGGAACTCTGGCCTGTGAGGCTAAGAGCTAATGTGTACTTTCATCGATCTGAGTTAGAGGCACACAGCAGGTTACTGTGCCTGTTCTTCACAAGTACAAAAGCTGCTATCCTCAATCAGTGTGTGTTGTGAAAAGGGGGCTTGCTGCTGTGACTCAATAAATGGGGACATTAGGAGGAAATGTTATAATTGCTGCTACCCACATCTTGTTAATGAGTAATGTACAGTGAGACTCCATGCAATTGCAGCTAAGCTGTTTATACAATTTATTCTTATGTTGCAAGTAACATTTAACATAATGAAGAATCATAATTGTAGCCATTAAAGTCAAGATTAAGATTTGTTTAATTAGAATTAAGAAAATGTAGAATAGACTCTGAAAATGTAGGATTTGCAGGGTAGATACTGCAGCTTGTAGGAAAATTTGGTGGGATCGTATTAAAGAGCTTTGTCTGTATAAAACTGTGTGCTTTGGGCCCGATTCTTCTCTTATTTACACCAGTGTGAGCTTGGAGGAACTCTACAGAAAAAATATATTTATATTGCTCTAAAAATGATAGAAGAGCAGAATCAGGCCCGTGGATTTCAACTCCCTATTTTAAGTCCTAAAATCAATTTTATATCAAACAGTAGTATCTATAGATAATATGAGGAATGCATGGCATTTTATTTCAGGATATGAAAATTGTAGCATCCAAATGTTAAGTGTATATGTTTGTCTTTGCTGCAATTCTAAAACAAATTGCTGTTCATGGCACCTTAGGCACAGAAAACATCCCACAGACTTTCTGCTGAATTACTGTACATAGTGTTTTGCCTATACAGTGTACAATTATCCTATATAGTCTCTTCTAAAGGCTTTATAAACATTGGATCAGATTCATGCTTACATTAGCTTTTTGTGGTGTAAAGCCAGGCTCAGTGCCCTGAGAGGTAGACTCCAAGGTAGGGATGTAAGCGACTAGTTGACTATCCGATAAGCATTTGCAAAAGCCTATTAGATAGTTGACTAGTTCCTCAACTAGTTGTCCTCCCCTCCCACTGTCTGTTGGCTCTTAATACATTTAAAAATCAGAAGCGCAGCAGGGGGGACCCAGTGCGAGCCAGGCCAGCTAATTCCTGGTTCATGCCAGGTCCCCCCTGCTGCACTTTAGCCTTTTCAATGTATTAAGAGCTGGCGGCTCTAAATGTATTAAGAGCTTTAATCTGGCTGTGGGTCTCCATTTATCAACTAATCAAATAGTCGATTAGTTAATTAACCTATATTTAACATCCCTACTCCAAGAAGAGCTGAGAGGGATACTGTAGCGTGAGGTGGCAGGTGGTCTGTTGAAGACCAGAGCTACTCAGTGTCCAGCAGAGCTGACTGAAATATTGCAAAATTTAAAATCTTACTGAAAATTTGTGTCAGAATTTTGTAGAGGTAGGGGCGGAAGGGGAAAGGATGAAAATGTCATGTTGTTTTTCAATCAGGTCTATTATCCCAGAAGGGTAGCCGGGGGTGGACTGATCTAACACAGTATTATGACAGCTTCCAGCTACAAGCCTCTCAAGAGTCACACCAGAAGTTTGAGCTGCTCCCTCTCTATGCATGCTAAGGGAGGATGACAATGGCAAACCTATTTGCCCTCCAGAAAGGTATGGGGAAATTGTGGTGTCAGAAAGTGCACTGTACAGCTACCGTTTACTGTTTAGATGAATAAGGCTCATCATCTGGTTAATCTTCATCATACCATTATGAGTCAGGCAAGTATCATCTCCACTTTAGAGATGAAGAAACTGGATTGTCATAGGTTAAGTGACTTGCACAAGGCCACAAAGAGTGTCACTGTCACAGGTGGGATTAGTACCCCATCTTGTGCTTAGACAAAAAATATAAGAGCCTCTTTCTAGCATTTTCAAATTTTGATGACTTACCATGGGCATGATTTCAGCCAGAAGCGAAGTAAGAAGCAAAAATCAGTAGCCAGTAAGATTTTGTATGGATTATAGGTACCATGATTAAGGATATGTTACTGGGGCATATCATGTTTTTCAACTATCCATATAAAATTATTAACATTTGTAAAGGAAACACTTTTTGATAGTAAATAGGGAGGCTGCACTTACATGGAACTATTTTTCTTCTATTTAAAAAAATGTTGACTTGTTTCTTGTCCCTTTCAGATACAGGTTTTTGGTTTACTTCTGTAAGTTGATTGCAGTAGTGTTTTTAGTCAAGCTTTATAAACGTCACTCTAATGAACAGATTACTGATTAGTCATGAAAGTGGTGGTCAGACATTTAGTAATTTATATAAAGATTATATATAACAAACTGAAAAAAGAAAGGTCAGATCATTGCTACTCTCTATTGTCATATCAAGTGAAATCTATTTTTTTTAAATGCTAGTATTAGGAAAAACCCTCAATGTAAACCTGTTGGTCAATATTTGTGAAATAATAAACTCTGATGAACAGCTGCAGATTCTATTATGATGTTGAAGGTCATTGACAAAGTGAGTGCTGATTATCTTCATATTTAGAAGCCATCGATCCTTTTAAACTAGTATTTCTATAAATATGAATCAAAATAGACATTGATTTCCTTTCTTTGCAAGCCACATTCTTTAAGATAAGGGCCATATTTGAGTGTGTGTGATTGGCTGGCAGAGAATGGTTAGCTGTATAATTGGTGACATTGTACTGTTGGCTTCTTATGTCTGGTAGAAAAAGGGATATTTTTGGTAATGTTTTTAAAGGCAAGTTTTTAAATACACTGAAATATTGCTCAGTGAGACGTGAATTGCTTAGCCAGTGGACATATCTTGAAATTTTCAGTTATAGTTTCAAATGAATTCCCTTATGTGTTCTGTAAACTAGTGACATCATGTTTTTAAAGTTGAGTACAATTACACTTGCGCTGCTTGGAATTTTTAAGATGTAATCTTTTTCCATTTCTTTGTAGACCATTTCATCATCATATAGTTGATGCTAGTTGGCTTTCATATCAGAAGGTCCAAGTACTGAATGGGCGTGGAGAATGAGCAGTTGGCCTGAAAACAGATGTGAGTAACTATTATGGGATTAACTGGGTACTTTGTATGGGCCATGCAAGAAAGTAAAAACTTCTTCTGTCCCTGCTTTGGACATAGAAATATCATTTCAGGCCCAAGGTTTGCCATGTTGGCACTTACCCCAATGCATATTCACTTACAGAACTATACAAATTAAAATGGACATTTCGAATTAACAGTAAATACGGATAAATGTAACAACAGCCCAAGAAGTTGATTATGTTACATGATTAATGACAAGCTGCAAATCTCACCATTTCCCCCCAAGCATTTTAAGAGAAGCCAGTTTGATGGAATGGAGCACAGATGACTTAGGTTGTAAGCTCTTGGAGGAGGGTTTTTTTTTGTTCTATATTTGTACAGTGGCAGGCACTGTGGGGTTCTGGAACAAGACTAGGCTATTGAGTGTGTCGGTGGTGGGAATAATAAAAATTAATAATAATAAATAGGTCTTTTTCTAAGTAATTTTTAATGGGGACCAGCTTTTTTGCTCGGTATAAGTGACTCCAATTGGGTGTCAGTTTGGCTTTGCTAAAGCCCTTTATGTGGAGTAGTGTGTACAACCAGAAACAGACTGGGAAAGTCAGAATCCACTTTCCAGCTTCCTTCTGGTCCAGGAAGGAGATTCTGTGTGTCATCCCTGCCCTGTGCCCAGAGTACTATGCTGGGAATGTCTACAAAGTTGTTCTAGCCACTTCTTCCCACTGAGTTGCAACTCACATGCATGGGGGAAGACATAGCAACCCTGCAGTGGCTGTACCATCCCTCTGTATTCACAAGCGATGGAAAGCCAGCATGCAGGAGAATGGTCACTTTATACACTCTCCCTCCCTTGCTTAGGACAGCCTGCAAGAGTGCTTTAGGTCTCTTAATTACCAAATGGGATGAGCATTAATATGATATGTAGTGACATTTTTATATATAAAGCAAGTGCTGTCAGCCCCTGCTCCCTCACCTTCAGTGAAGACCCTCAGTCCTACAAAGCAGGTATGTGAGTTTCATTAAGTTAAAATCCCATTGGGATTTCCACCTGTTAATTACATCAATTTATGTATTTTATATATTAATTTGTATTCATGTATGGAATGTTTAGAGAAGTTTTTGATATCCTAAAGCAGATTATAAATTATTTGAGGTGATCAGAGCCAGGGTAGACACCACAAACAGTCCGCAAATTTGTCATCTCATTTTCATTCTTATCCCAGATTTTTTTTTACCGCTTACAACTGTGTTCTCAATATCATGATTTTACTCAATGAGAAGAAATACAGGTGACCCCTGAACTTACGACCTAATTGGTTCCTAGAGAACCATCATAAGTTGAGCCATCATAAGTCAAACCCTTATTTCCCATATGCGCAATGTTATAAATGGTGGTTCCATTCCTGAAAATCCATTTTATACCCTAAAAATACCAAAATTGACTACAGAAATGGAGGAAAACTAAACTAAATAGTTCAAATAATGCACAAAAATAACTAAAAAGTGAAGACCGATGTGGTGGAGACACATGCGGTTCAAGCAGCAGCTGCAGACTGGTGAGTCTGACTGACTTTGTACGTTTCCTGGTTTGGGATGATGTGTGGAGTCTGCATCATACGCCGTCATAAATGCAAGCTGCAGATGTAAATTGGGGTTTTTTAGGAGCTATCTCTCATGAAAAAAATGGTTGTAAATGTGGGGGGTTGTAAGTCAGGCAGTCATAAGTTGCCTGTAAGTGGTAAGTCGCCTGTAAGTAAATCATTGCCAGCAATGATTAGCAGCATGTCATATTCCATATGACCAGCCAGCAGGGGGTGCCCATAAAGATGAAGTAACCACCACCTTCCTTCTGAAGTCCGAATTCAGTTTCCTCTGTGATCTCCTGTCAGTGACAGATGTGAAATCATTGTTGTGCTGCCATCTCTTAGGTCTCTTTGCAAAAAGCTACTAGTTTGCTGCCGTAACTGGCTAATAAAAAAAAAGTTGGAACTAAAAATATCAGACCTGTACTTGAATTTTCTTTAGTGGAAAGTGCAAATATAATGACCATAGAAAACCAGTTTCAATACTTCAGATAACAATAGGTTTCTAGTTGTTGAATGCTCATTAGCTTTTTCTTTCAGGGTTCCTCTTCTGATGCAAGACTCTTTTGCTAACCTAATTTGGAGCAACTTCCTGCCAAATCAATATCAGTCTTCTGGCAAATATTATTAAATATCTGTTTGATACCTATTTACAACTAGGAAAATAATTTTGCTGCCAAGGGATTGTAAATGTGTGAAAAGACCCTCTGACAGCTTCCTTCACTCACTGTCTACAAGCCAGCGTCTGTGTGCCAAAGCCAGAAGACTAAGACGAAGAACATAATTAAGGAAACATATGAAGGCTAGCGCAGGGTTTGAGATTAATTAGCTGTGCGTCAATAATCTCATCAATATCCGATTAACAAATGACACATTGCCCAATGAAACATATTGATTCATTCACACTCCACACTGTTAATAAATTGAAGCTGCTTTGCTAAATGAGAGAGCTGACAAAATAATAACTTCCTAATACTTCCCTAGTATTGTGATAAAAACATAAAATTAGCCCGAAGTATACTTAATTTAGTAGTGCTGTCATTGCCTTTATGAAGCTTTTTAACATGAGGTAGGAAGGTAAAACAGTTCCTTTCATGGACTAATTACTGGGCTAGGCTAACTGAACAGATGGATAACTATTCATGTAGACATTATAACGTATTATGTATATATGTTTTCAGAATATGGCTCCTAGTTGAATGTTTTTATGGGTTATTTAATTTCTGAAGAAATGTAAACTTTTTGAAAATATTGTGACATTGTAGTTGATCAATGGTCTTTAGTTGGTACATGCAGTCAAAAATAAGGGTAAAATCCTGGCACCATTGAAGTCAATGAGGTTAGGATTTCATCCTTAAGAGTTTACATACACATCACTAAATCACATCACATAAGGCCAGACGAAAATTTGATATGTCAGTGAGAAAAATTAAGAAATAGTCTATGAAGACGACAAATATAGAGCTGACCAAGAATTCCCATTTTCTTATTTTAATGACAAGACCTACTGTCTACTTCTACAAAAGAAGTTCCTTGTAAAAAATGCAAAACCTGCACAGACAAAAAAGTGAATGCTGTTTATTTTCCTTGCGCAACTGGCAAAAGCCAGCAAAACCTTGTTTAGAAGTGTGACAATCTAAAAAACTGTTTTTTGCTCTATAAATGGCATTGCATGTTTTGCCATCATAATCTCCTAGTGATTGCCATTAGACATGTCAACATTGCAGTGTGTTGTTTCTTAGCAGTGACTGGACAGTGACAATTTTGTTGTTGCAGCAACTTTGTAGGTTTTGAGATTTCTTCCATATTGAAACAAAACCAATTTTTTTCCAAAAATGTATCTGGGGTGTATGATGCTGACTAACGCTAGTCTGCTGATTAGGGTAGTGGTGTCAGAAGACCCTGGTTCAAATCCCTGCTCTCTCTGATTCATGACAAAGTTTTTCTCTTCTCAACTTGCTCCATATTGGGTAGATCAGGAATTTGAGTCTCACTTCACCCCAGGCCAGGATCACAAACCCACCCAGCTATCGGATCTCTGTATCCATTCCTATCCCTCAAAAATTCTCCTTCTTGAAATGTTTTGTCCTTGACAAAAGTGTATAGAAATTCACATAAATGCTAATGTTCAGCTACTGATATAACCTCTCTCCCCTGCACTTCTTCTATCTCCTTTTCACTTAGGGCAGAGTCCAGTGAGGTTCTGAGTTGACCCCAGGAGCTGAGCACATTCACGGAGGAAGGAACCACCAGGGCCATTTAGTCTAACACCCTACCAGTTCCTTGTGGGACAGGAGGGCCTCCTAGCTACTTTATTTACAGGTTTCTGGTTCCTGAGCCACTTGCTTTGCATGACCTCGTGACCCAGCACAGGTGCAAAGCCAGTTTAACTGGCTAGTTAGGGATTCTTCCAGCCTAGGGGAATTCCTAGGTGGTGAATAGCCAGTTGCACTACGTCTGTCCTCATCCCCTTTGCTGGAACCAGAATAGAGGGTGTGTCAGGGACATGGTGAGGGGAAGGAGACTTTTTTGGAATGTTGCAGCTTGGGCAATCCCAGGTGGCTGGAACAGCCCCTTGGTGGCCATTGCACATGAGGCAATATTGAGGCAACTATAAGTTGTGCAAGGAGTCAAATCAGTTCCCAGGTGGCTCTGGAACTAAGCATAAAGGTGTTAAGATGTTATCGATGTTGAACCCCCAAGCTATGTTGAATGCAAGTTGAGCACAGCTGAGGATTTTGTTGTAGAGTCATTGAAGAGCTGTGGTGGCAATTTCATCATTAAGACTCCCACTCAGCAATACTCTTAAGCAAGTACTTGGTAGTTTGCTGTCATACATTTTATTTTGATGTCCTAGTGCTTTGTAGGGACTGTTAATTTTTAAAACCGTCATCTCATATTTGTCAGAAGAGAACTATTTTTATAAAGTTTCAGGTGTTCTATGAAACTACGAGACTGCAATCTGGGAGCTAATAGATTTTTTTTTAAATGATCACAATATTGTAGTAAAGGTCTAGAAATAATGTCTATGTATTTGCAACCTCAATTGTCTTAGCATTCACAAAGTGTTTTGTCTGTGACCTAGAAATTAATGATTGAAAAGCTATGCAAGTAAAGTGGCCCATTGTCTGCCATTGTAAGACTGTTCACCACAGTGATGTGCCATTTCCAGTCCAGTTTGTAATGAACCAGTCAGCATATTGGTCCATCTGAATTGGGCTCTTAACTAACGGTCATTAGCTTTTTAGGTTTCTGTGATATGCTGAATAACTTGGAACAACTAATGATTTTATTGCCAATCTTAATATTTAAAGTTCTCTGTGGAGTCATATATGGTTCTTAATGAAACCATTATTTATAGGGTTAAAATCTCACAGTAAATTCCTGTCTTTCTGCCTCTATACTGAAATTAACACACATGCACAG